GATGCTGAGGCCCTGGCACAGGATGCCCAGAGAAGCTGTGGCTGCCCCTGGATCCCTGGAAATGTCCAAGGCCAGGCTGAACAGGGTTTGGAGCAATCTGTAAAGAGAATCATTCATTCTGAGCACCGTAATTCTGCCTCCTCTTTCACCAGAGGTTTTTAAAGTGTGGTTTGGCCATCAGAGAGTGAAGTCTGATGATAATGGCGTGAATTTGGGACAATGTTACCTCCAAGTACCACAAAATCATGGATCAAACATCTGAGCCAAGGTCAAATCCCACAGCAGCAGAGATCCAGCCCCAGGAAATACTGACTTGGACTGTCCAGGTCTTTTCTTGAGACCAGAATGTATTTCCTATAAACCCATCACCAAAACAGGGACCAACCTTCTCTGTCAGGAAAGAGTTTGAAGTCTGTGATGACACTGGGACCTTTGTGCTCAGCACAGCAAAGCTGAAATGTGGAAATACTCCCAATATCCTTGCGCAAGGAAAACCCTCAAGATCCATGATAAATGTGTTTCCTTGTGCTTGCCACTTTCCCACAGAGCATGGAGGGGATGAAATGTGAATACAGATCTTTTTTTTCCTGCTCTTAATGAGAATCTGTTCACTTTGATGAGCATCAAATCTCTCTCTGTTAATTGCTGTCAATAGAAGGGGAGATGAATCAATACCTCTATGAAATCAATGCCTTTATCAAGCAGCTCTGGAGAACTGAAATAAGAGGAGAAGTCACAGTACTGGCAGAGCCTCAGGCATGGAGTTTGCACAGTTGCAAGGGTTCCCTTAATTACAGGCTGCATTAATTAACGCCGGGCTGCAACTTATTAAAAGGTCATCTCACATCCTTACCTGGTAACTCAACACTTTAAAGAATGGCTTTTTATGGCTGAATATTTGCAGGAGGGGTGAGGATAAAACACAGGGTTCCCTCCAGGTCTCCTTGGAGCCTGTTCAAGACACTGTGCTGAGCTTTCCCCCTGGCTGCTTTCCTGCAGGAACACATTCCATGCCCGAGCTGGTTTCCCCCATCTCAGGTGGTTTGCAAACCTTGGAAGGGCAGGTGAGGAGCAAGGGGTGGCTCCTGCCCCGTTTGCTCACCTGCCACGGGCAGGGATCAAGGGCTTAGCTGTCCAAAACCTGCAGCAGCAGCAAGTTCCAACAAGGAAAATTCCATTAATTGGTGCAAGGAGCTTTGTCACAATGGGGAAATCCAACGCTGCAATGCGCACTGGGAGGTTTTGGACAGGACAAAACTCTGAGGAGTTTGGGGAGTCACAGAACAGTTTCGGTTGGGAGGGACCTTAAAATTCCTCTTGTTTCAGTCCCTTCCACAGCCCAGGGAGCTGCAGCTGTTCCATGTTCCATCTGGAGTTGCAGAACTGCAGGCTGATGGTTGGACTTTTTTAAAAAAATGAGTTTTTCCCTTGTGTTTGGTGTTTTCTCATCAGTTCCTCTCAGGCTGGAGAAGTGATGCTGTCCATGGGAATGGCATGGAAAGGAATATTGTGTTGCATTTTCTCCTGGTATCCATCAGCTCTGTTTCTTTCTGTGGTTTAAAATGCAAGAACACAAGATAAGGACAATTTCTGGTTGTATTTGTATTTATCCTTATCTCAGTTAAGGAATGGCTCAAATTCACCTGTCACAACTGAAGTTATTTTTACAGTGAATATTAGCAGAGAAATGTGCATTAGGTTTTTCTGTTGATCCAATTTCTGTCTGATTTATTTGATATCATGAAAAATCACATATAGCCTTTAAATTAACATTGTTCAGCAATTAACTTCTTCCTTTATTTGCACTAACAGATTTGTAGTAAACAAATAATACAATACAATAATAGAGGTAAAATAAGGATTTGTTTTTCACTTTCTTTTGTATGAATTTCTCCTGAAATATATTTAATTTCTATTGATTTACTTTTAAACTGCAGGAATTTCTTTTGGATGACAAACTGAATTCATTTTGCTACCAGCTGAGGTCATCATAAAACAAGTTTGGTTTGTTTTCCACACTCTCCACTGCTTTAGGAGAAAAGTAGGGAGGGGAAAAATAAAAAACTCAAGAGAGAGCTGAGAAACATTCAAAAGCAGGGATTGATGAGAACTCTGTGAAGATTTTGGTGACCTCTGCATCAGGCTGGAAAGTCAAAATATTTCCCCCACCTCAGGCAGTTTGGGGTGGGACCTGTGGTTTTTGGGGTGAGCCCAGAATGGCTGAAAATCAGCTTCATGTTTATTCATTGTTGTTTTTTTGTGAAAGGACATTGGGGTGTCCCAACCCTGGATCTTCCTGCTCCTCACTTGGTTTTATTTTCTGATTATGGTCTTCATCTCTCTCTTCCAGATGTGGGGGAAATACTGATGTGAATTCAGCTCTGAAAGCATTTAGTGCTTCTTAAAAAGGAATAATTTCCTTGCACACTTCAAGCCAGCTTTGTTTTATGGGAAGGGTTGTATTTTTGAGCTCGTCCTTTTTTTACCAAAATTAATTTATCCCTACAGAAGTGAAATATTCTATTCACATTTTAAACTGCAGCTGTTCACTTTGATGAGCATCAAATCTCTCTCTGTTAATTGCTGTCAATAAAAGTTGAGATTAATCAATACTTCTATGAATCAATGCCTTTATCAGGCACTTCTGGAGAACTGAAATAAGATTCAGATCTTATATATTCAGATCTTATATTCAGATAAGTCTCCGATTCTCAGCCCCTGATGGAGATGGGAATTTGGTCACACTCCATCCCCTTTCCAGTGCCCGGATTTGGGGTTCCATCCTCACCCCCAAAAATCAAAAGCAGCTCTTCCCATTACCCACAGTCTCTTTTCCCATGATTTGTGCATTCATATGGGAACAAAAATGTGCAAATGGATTCTGTCCAAGCCACTGGAAACAGGAAAACCCCACAAGCTCCCTCCTTTTATCCCCCTGCGAAAGCACCGACCGTTTGTTTTATTTCGGGATACTGTATCCTAACAAATTATCCTTAAAAATCATTTGGTGTGAAATTGCAGATTAATCCCGCCGGGCTGGGGGCTTGGCCCTGGCCTGGCCACTTGGGAGCACACAGATGGTGCCTGGGCGTGTGACAAAAGGCCCGGGCCCTGATGAGATGCAGGGATGTAACGGACAGAAAGCTTTTCCTCGTGGCCAAGGTGAGGAAAGCACCGGAGGTGCTGGAGCCTGACTCCTGCTGGGAGAGCTGTCCTGGAAAATCTGCCCTGCAAAAGTTCTCCCAAACAAAGGGAAACCTGCTCTGACTCCCTTTAAAAATTTCAAATCCCATTTTTGCTTCCTAATGCTGTTTTTTCTTTTCTTATTCATTTTTTTTGCTTGTTTTGTTGCATCTTTATGTGGCAAACACCAACAAATGGGGATTCCTTT